TCAGTAGTGAGATAGATAATACTCCCCATAATGTGGCACAGACTGCATTAACTCTCAACATTTGCTTCAGTGCTACTGAGCAGGATTCGCCATTAAAGACAGTAAGGAAAAACCTAGAAATACCTTATTCTGAGTGAGGGTGCATTACTAATCCACTTAACAGATGCACAGAGGGAAGGACATGCACGCATTTATTCTGAGACAGGTAAATGGTAACAGAAAACACCAGGACAACCAAGAAATCCAAACAGTTTAGAATTGCTTTGATGTCCAAAAAGGCAAATTGCCAATTTTCTGTAGTCAGACATCATTCAGGAAAATGCCCAAGACAAGGTTTCAGGTTTAGACAAGAGTATGGACATACTTCAGAGGGCATTTAACATGTCTGGAGTTATGACAGAGGTCACAAGGAATTCAGTAGGAAGATAATTAGCAGATAGTGTGCATTTTCATTTAACAGGGAAGATGGAAGAATTAAGACTGACCATGTAAAAAGTATAAGAATGAAAATTGAATTTAAAAAGCAAACTAGGAGGAAAAAAAACCAATAAAACAACAAACAAAAAACCAAACCAACCAACCAACAAGCAGCTACAGTGGAGGCAAAACTGATGAAGGCCACTGTATCAGGGAAACTCCATAATCTGCAGTATGATCCTAAAAAGCATCATCTATGTGTAAAGAGCACCGCAATGAAGCATTTAGTATATGACAAGAACTGATGAAGTGAAATCTCTACTTGTTGCAAATTAAGACAGAGTGCTGACACAGGGCTCTCCTCTTGTTTACACAACCTGCTTCATGAGCTTTTTTCCCCTTAAATATTCCAAAGGGGAAACAAGAAAACTTCTATTTTTAATTCAAGTTGAATTAAATACAAATACCCACAACCCACACTTAAATAATTTGTTTTAATATATAAATTTCCACCTTATACATGATTCTAACAACCTGAAAATTCACATCAAGTATGCATAACATTTGAACTGGATGGGCTAGTTTTCAGGAAGATGCTATCTTTTCTTCATGTTCAGAAAAGGGAATACCGTGCAAGGCATCAACTCCAACAGCTACCTTTTCTTTCTTAAAATAGCCTCAAAGTTAAGGAACTTTTCCCCTTATTCTTTACTATCATCAGTTTTCAGAGAAGTCATACAGAGCATACAGATAGGTAAAAAATGGATGAGGAATGAACAATAACCCTGTCCTATAGATGAAATATTCAACCATTAACAAGAACTATGGAAGCACAACCGTGCTTTCATAAAACAGCAGATCTATCCTTGCAAAACAAGAATTTCTGAGATACGTGATCAAACACATCCCAAGGTCTTTTTGTACCAGCTTGAACAAATTAAAATGCAAAAAATATGTAACTGAGCTGCAGACACCCAGTAGATAACACCCAATAATTTCCTCATCAAAAATAAAGTTACAAATAAAGAGAACTAAAGTTATATTTAAATGTGTTTGAATTGTTACATTTATTCTCAAAACCAGACAAAAGAGTTTTACAAATTAGTAATTAGTTTTGTGTTTCTTTCCTTAATTTTAATACTCTTTGTCAATTGTAGCTATGTTGATCAATCCAGAAATGTCAGTCAAGAGGGATTTCATGCTGTGTACTTCAACATGCTGATGCCAAAGTTAGGCAACTACTCAAGAGAGTGAAAGGAGACAGGTTCCCCTTGAAGACAATGCAAAGCACCAAAGCTTCCCTGGTCCAAATGGTGATTCAGAGCAGACCAGTCTCACAACTTTGACATCTAACACAGCTATCAAGAAGAGCCTGAACAAGTTACTCTCCGAGCAGTAAAAGTCTCATTTAGCCACTCTATTATACTGAGTAAAACTCAGTACACTGACGATATCTTCCTATTCTCAGTCAATATCTGAAATGCAAATTATTATTAAAGGCTCCAGGTATCAGCACACAACAAGCATTATGAGAGACCAACAAGATTCAGTTCAGAAGAGGTACACACGCACTTTCAGGCCCCATGTTCCAGTTGCAACAACGATGCCTTTAGATGAGAACATCTCTTCCCAATCAAAAGTGTTTAAATGGGGACAGCTTTTAGTCCACATTTATTGGGTCAGAGAGGTAAGGTCTCTGCAACTATTTTTGTCATGAACTCCCCTGTCCATATTGCCCAAGAAACTCAACTGGCATCAGCCATTCCCATCACAAGCAAAATCAGAACTTCAACATTCACTATAGGATGCACTGTAGAAAATAACACAGAATTACTGTTAGATAAATACTTTTTGAAGACAGCTGCAATGCAGTGGACAGATAGTGAGATATCCAAGGGGCTGAAAATAGTCCAGGTTAAAGTACACAGAGCTCCACATCAGCTCATTTGCCCTTCTTTGAGCCTGTAAGAACAGATGCACGCTATCTGCTAATTATCTTCCTCTGTGCAACTGATTCTGATATTTTGCTCAGATATTTTTACTGCATACTTTGATATTTTTATCATGTTTGGAAAAACAATTTAGATAAGGAAAGATCTAACTAAAAGGCTTGCCTACTCATCATCCTCATAATTATTTAAGGCTTACATTTATCCTTCCTTTGGAAGCAGCTTGTAATCTATTCTGGATAACTTGCCAGGGAGGATAGTGCTTGAGCTGATAGCTGAGCTCACTCCTTCGAAGGTCAGACACTCACAGAATAGCAGTATTCATAAGCAAATTCAGGATTTTGGAGATATTATTTGTCATAACAGAATGATAGGACCTTAATAACAGCACTTAAAAGAAGGTATTATCTTCTTTTAACAGACTGAGCTCATTTTTGGCTGGTCAAGTGGCCTCATGTGTTAACTCATGAACATGTGGAACCAACAACGCTGTATTTTCAGTCCCATCTGGAGTCTCCCCTAGTGAGCTTTATTCTACCTTCTGGCCAAAACACTTGCCACAATCATCCAAATCCCTGAAGGCAAAAAGGATTTTAAAAAACAAACAAACTCAAACACAAAAACACACAAACCAAGCAGCTGCTCTAGGTTGCCTAAATTCCTGTATTTAAGGAAAACGTGCTGCTTTCAAACCCATGATATTTTCCCAGTGAAACCAAGTGATATCATAAAATTATATTGTTTCTATATAACCCGAGATCCTTCTCATCTCCAGAGCAGCCATGTTAAGATCACAGTATTAATTCAAGGTAATGCTTTTCTATTCCAAGAAGAAATAAAATTAAGGAAGTAGTCACAGGAGTCTAACTCAGTGGGAGATGCTGGTTTATGCTCAAGCAGGAAAGACAAGTGCACAAGTCATCAAATCTTACGTAAATGAAGGCTAAGATCACTTCATGCTGAAGTACTAAACCAGATACTAACTCTGTTGTATGTTCTCAACCAGGTTTGTGAAAAGTACTGCACTGGAGTTACTTAAGAGAAATATAGCTAACACCTGATGAGAACCTTGAGTACTGCTGTGCAATGAGAGTATCTATTTCCCTACTGTCATAAACATACTCTTAAATCAATGGACAATATTCAGATCAAATTATTGTTTTTACCATGCCAGAGGCCATGAAAAAATCATATCATAGAATGGTATATACCCATATTGTGCGCCCACCTCTCCTCTGTTTTTTCTCCAGAAAGAATCTCTCTAGACATTTAATACCAGGCTGACCTGGATTTCATTAAGCATACTGACCAAGAGATATTACAACTGATTTCTTTGGCTTCCAAGACAAAATGCCAAATGAGTTTTATGTTTCAAAGGCTGTGTCTAACAGATACCTCTCCCTTCTGGGTATTACACCTGCAGATCAGTATGTGACACAAACTTAGTTTTGCTGAATGCCAGCTGTAAAACCCCCTAAAATTAATGCTGCTGTTCCCATAACTGCTTCTGTGGGAAAGGTGCAAGTTGAATAACTATTCCTATTCTTCTGTGGTGACAAAACTACAATGTTTCAAGAATTTACATAGCTCATTTTTTCTCTAAAGGATAGGGCAATGATTTAAGAGATTAACAAAGAGCATCTACAGTTCTTTTCCTACAATAGCACAGACACTATTTTATTAAGTTGTTAAAATAGTATTTAGATGAAGCTAAAAATCTTTATGTCATTGTTGTTCATCCTGGCTCCAGCTTTGAACTTTGATTCAGTAGTCCAGAAGGCCAAAGCTCAAGTTTTAACAAGGCTAGAGATGCCTGAAAAAGCAAGTCATTTTAACATACACTTTAAAGTATGAGAACATGTTAAGTTGCCTGTTCATATGACCATTAAGACTACAAAAATCATACTTAAATGATACTTGCATCAATACATTTACGTATTTACAACTCGTTGTTTGGTAAAATTACGGTCATACCATTTGTAAGAAACATCATTACCCAATCGATCAAATATATTTTTTAAATTCCTTAATACCAAAAGCAAGTTGGCATCCAGACGCAGAACAAAACGTTCCCAAGTACAGTTTCAAGGCCAAATAAGAGCTAATACCTATGTAAACATGTGAAAATAGGAGTTTACTGTTCAGTTGCAACAAGATGTATCTTCAAGAAAAACAAACAAAAAATGACAAAGCCCGTACTCAGTACACAAATTGACAGGAACACGCACAGTACAAATGCTACTTACTTTTACATTGCTTTCAAGATCTGCCATCCAAAATACAATTATTTTTATAACACCTAATATTTTTATATATGATTTTATGAGTACTCTCATTTATAATTTTTTAATGTAAAAATAGAAAAATCATCTGCGAGGTATTACAATCTTGTAGTCATCCTTCAGCAGACTGTTTCCCACATTTTACTGTGCTCAGAATTTCTTTATACTCATAATGAAACACACAGATACAACAATCAAAAAACCCCAGGTTTATTTTGTGAAGAAAGCTAACATTTATAGCAAAGAAACTTGTAAGTTTCCACACCCATATAATCAATTCCACAGTATTTTCAGCAGCACATGAAGAATCATTGTAAAAGAAAGAGAGAAGTCATAACACATTATAACATAACACATTATAGGGTAAAATGCAAATTTTGGACACAGCGAGGTACAGGCTTGTCTGCCCTCATAGCAAAATGCAAACCCTACTTCACTGATCCCATCTTCCCATAAATTAATAAAAATAGAGATAAGCAAAAGTTAGTTCTTCTTGGACAATAAGAGAACAATCTTTAATAGGAAATTAGGCTGGTTTCACAGGTAAATAAATCATGCATTGATCTAATAAGATTGTGGCTCTTTCTGGACTTGCAGAAAGTTGTTCTTGAAACCTGAAAGGGAAATGATACTCTGGTTAGTACATGTATACAGCACCACCGACACAAAGTATGCTATAAGCATAAGCTATAAGCTACATAAGCAACTTACAGTATAAAGCATTGCACATGCAGCTCTTTGATGCTCATCTCCTCCCCTCCACATTCACGTGAGCTGTATGTGAAGAATGAGAAGTTCCTTGGCATGGATACCATCTCTAGGAAAGTAATTCTAACAGAATAGGAGTCAGCACTGTGAATGTTTGTATTATTCATTTTGGTTCTGCAAAGAAAAGAATATAAAGAGGAAACACAGGTAAAAAGAAAACACTGTTGTGTTCTTTGCCCTTTTCTATAATTTCCCCAAAATAGGTAACAGGTTACAAAGCAAGAAAATCAAAATTCACAAGCAAAAGCAAAACTTACCACAATTTCAGTGTCACTCAGGTTCTCCGTGTAACATTTTGGAACAGATCAGTCTTCCAGACGTAAGCTGTTGAAGAGACTGTTCCAGGCTGTGGCCACTTCCTTGAAGAGCCCCTGATGTGCACAGATGAGCTCTCACACAGTAAAATGGAGATGTGTTCTCTGCTTTTATGAACCTAGCTCTTGTAGCAGCCCACAACAGATCTTTGCCTTGAAAAAAGCTGTGTCTGCTACTGAACACATACTCACATCTAATATATATTAATTGTCAGTTAACAGTTTCAGAATATAAGGTAAAATCAGTGATTTTACCAGGAAACCATTGCATGAGGTTATGCAAAAAAACATCAGATACTTCAGATAATCATCTTTCACACGTCAGCACAGCACTTGGATTCAGCACAGCACTTGATTCCATTCATGATAATTGCAGATTACTACTGTTACAAGTTGTTATTTACGCTATCACGTAGTCTTCTCTAGAGCACAGTACCTGTACACATAATGTCAAAGTGGAAAGGTGTGTTCTCAGACATATGGCTGAATGCTGACTTCCATCAATTCCTTTGTTTTTCTGTTATGTTACCCTCTTATTAAATAAGATCGTTGCCTGGGCTGAGGTAACATTTCAAATCCTGGCTCGAGTAACGCATCAATCAGAAGATGAAACAAACTCGTGTGATAGCAAATCAAGTAGTAGTTTGCTCTGTAGCTGAAGAGTAGATATATGACATGCTGCAAGATCTAAAGCTGTAATCTCAATGAATGCATTTTCAGCGTATTCCTGTATGGCTGATTATTCATACCTGTGCTCCATACACAACAGTATAATAACAGTACAAACAGCATAATGTCCAAGGATAATGTATACATTTTGCAGTTACAAAGAGCTGCCTTTTGGAGGTATATAACAAGAAACTTGTTACTCAGCCAAACACAATAATGAAAACTCTTTGGTCATTTTCCATATTTAATATTTCAACTTTGTTCCTCACAGAAAGCCTAATGGATATTCTCAGTTCATCATGAATTGAACATATCCAAAAGAAAAAAGGCTTAAAAACCAGAAGTGGGCTTAGTGAAACATATGAATGCTGAGACATTTCACTCTTCCATGAAAAATAAAGTAGTAATCACACATTACCATTTCTATCTTCAAGTAAGATACAACTGACACATAAGGGTTTTTTGAGATAGATTGGAGAAAGCGCATTATTTACAAATAGCACTTTGTGATTCAGGCTATTTCACCAAATCTTGAATAAACCTTTTTTTAGCACTAAACTCTGCAATCCAAGCAAGCTATGCATAACAGGGAAGCAAAACACTGTATGTCAATAATGGTTTTGATGGTTAAAAAAAGAGGAGGAGGGAGGGAAAGGATTATTCTCACATCCCACGCAAGGTCAGGTACGTTAGCTGCTATGAACTCAATGCAAACGAACTTCATAATAGCCCATAAAAGCTGTATCAGAACCTACAGCTGTCACAATGATAAAAAGAAGCATGACAAATTAGTGTATCGCTAGGCCAAACTCAAGAAGCATTGCCATCCTAACCGAGTGATCAGAAAATTGCTGGTATTGCCACTTCAAATCATTGACTACTTATTACCAGGAGCAGCAGCCTCTGATGTAACGTGACCTCTGGTTGGCAGGAATACAATGCATGCCAGCACGGAGCATGTTTTTCCTGCCCCTTTAGGAGATGTGTACATTTTTAACCAATATTCTACAGCTAATAATGATCAGGTCCAACACTTACAAGCACCAGGCAACAACTGAAAAATCACAGGTGAGCAAGCTACAGCTCAACTAAAAGCGATTTCTTTGTGCCTAAACCAAAACAGGAGAACTTGGCAGAACAATGATTAGTGCAGAAGAGTCAATATACACCTAAGACTCCACCTGAATTGCCTACTGACTGAATCAAAGCTTTAAACCATTTTAAGCACAGCAAAATTATAATAAAAATAATAAAAATAAAAATAGATGTGCTCCAAGGAAAATAATAAATTATAATCTCAGATCACACACTACATAGACATAGATATGTAACGGTATCAACGTCTTTTCCAAGAGCATTTATAAATATTCCTTCTCTGGAGGAAATCACCAGTTACAACATACTAGAAAACAATACTAGACCTACATAAAAACATTTACCTGAAGTATGATAAGTTATAACAGAGGTCCTGCTATTCAGTTTAGTAAAAAGAAAAAAAAAAAAGTGAATATTTAACTTATAAAATTCATGCCTTTGGGAAACAGGACTAAGTGCCAAACCGTCAGCTTTCCACACTTCCATGCAGTTTATTGCATGTAAGATTATGAGAGTATCTCTTAGAAATATATAATTTTCTTTTGGAGGGCATCTTTCTACAGCATCAGTGATGCCTTCATGGACATTTAGCTTTCCCCAAACCCTTAGCAAATTAATCTAGTGCTTTCTTATGATCCCAATAATCCCCTGATGAAAAGCAGGGTTATGGGTAATAATGACAAATGTACTCTAGTGAAGACTGGTTATAAAAGGCAAAATGCTTTAGAAGTTTAAAAACTACCTGCATTTTACCTGTGTACCTTTATGATTTTATATATTCTCCATATTCATTTCTAGAATGACAAAAATGAGCTTCAAGGTATGAATTTCTCTGTGAAAAATCTACATTGCCCATATCATCTGGTGCTGATAAGCAGAGATTGGATATTACTTTCTTGGATTCCCTTTTAAATTTAACTCCAGGTTGCTTCAAAGCATGAAAAAGCTGTTGCAGAACTTCTGTATAATTCTTTGTTCATTTGTAAACTGTACATCACCTTGTTTGTGTTATGAGAACTTCCAAGGTGTAAGCTGCTGCAAAGATGCACTGAGACATACACAAAGTAGGAAATATAGAATCATAGAATTAGAATCATAGTTAGGGTTGGCAAGGACCTTAAGATCATCCAGTTCCAACCCCCCTGCCATAGGCAGGGACACCTCACACTAAACCACGTCACCCAAGGCTCTGTCCAACCTGGCCTTGAACACTGCCAGGGAGGGAGCATTCACAACTTCCCTGGGCAACCCATTCCAGGGCCTCACCACCCTTACAGTAAAGAACTTCTTCCTTATATCCAACCTAAACTTCCCCTGTTTAAGTTTTAACCCATTACCCCTTGCCCTGTTGCTACAGTCGCTAATGAAGAGTCCCTCCCCAGCATTCCTATAGGCCCCCTTCAGATATTGGAAGGCTGCTATGAGGTCTCCACGCAGCCTTCTCTTCTCCAGGCTGAACAGCCCCAACTTTCTCAGCCTGTCTTCATACAGGAGGTGCTCCACTCCCCTGATCATCCTTGTGGCCTCCTCTGGATTTGCTCCAACAGTTCCATGCCCTTTTTGTTGAGGACACCAGAACTGCACACAATGCTCCAGGTGAGGCCTCACAAGAGCAGAGTAGAGGGGCAGGATCACCTCCTTTGACCTGCTGGTCACGCTCCTTTTGATGCAGCCCAGGATACGGTTGCTTTCTGGGCTGCAAGCGCACACTGAAGCCGGCTCATGTTCATTTTCTCATCAACCAGCACCCCCAAGTCCTTCTCCACAGGGCTGCTCTGAATCTCTTCTCTGCCCAACCTGTAGCTGTGCCTGGGATTGCTCCGACCCAGGTGTAGGACCTTGCACTTGTCATGGTTAAACTTCATGAGGCTGGCATCAGCCCACCTCACAAGCGTGTTGAGGTCCCTCTGGATGGCATTCCTTCCCTCCAGGGTATCAACCAAACCACACAGCTTGGTGTCATCGGCAAACTTGCTGAGGGCGCACTCAATCCCTCTGTCCACGTCACCAACAAAGATGTTGAACAAGACCGGTCCCGACACCGATCCCTGAGGGACACCACTCGTTACTGGTCTCCAGCCGGACACTGAGCCATTGACCACAACTCTTTGTGTGCGGCCATCCAGCCAGTTCTTTATCCACCGAGTGGTCCATCCATCAAATTGATGTCTCTCCAATTTAGAGACAAGGATGTCGTGTGGGACAGTGTCGAATGCTTTGCACAAGTCCAGGTAGATGACATCAACTGCTCTACCCCTGTCCATCAGTTCTGTAGCCCCATCATAGAAGGCCACCAAATTGGTCAGGCAGGATTTCCCCTTAGTGAAGCCCTGCTGGCTGTCACCAAGCACCTTGTTGTTTTTCATGTGCCTTAGCATGCCTTCCAGGAGAATCTGCTCCAAGATTTTGCCAGGCACAGAGGTGAGACTGACTGGTCTGTCATTCCCCGGGTCATCCATTTTCCCCTTCTTGAAAATGGGGGTTATATTTCCCTTTTTCCAGTCATCGGGAACTTCACCTGACTGCCATGATTTTTCAAATATGATGACCAGTGGCTTAGCAACTTCATTTGCCAGCTCCTTCAGGACCCACAGATGGATTTCATCAGGTCCCATGGACTTGTGCACATTCATTTTTGAGATGGTCTCGAACCAGATCCTCTCCTATACTGGGCCCAAGGTCTTCATTCTCACAGTCCCTGTGTCTGCCTTCCAAGACTTTGGTGGTGTGGTCAGAGCCAGCAAAGACCAAGGCAAAAAAGTCATTCAGAACCTCAGCCTTCTCTAAATCCAGGATAGCCAGCTCTCCCGATAGCTTACGGAAGGGGCCTACGTTGTCCCTAGTCTGTCTTTTATTTGCTACGTACCTACAGAATCCCTTCCCGTTATCTTTCATATCCCTAGCCAAGTTTAATTCTAACTGGGCCTTAGCTTTCCTTGCCTATCTGTAGGGCAACATACCTTGCATGTTACTTGAAAGCCTGACACACGCCCCCTGTTGGGGTTATGCGTGTGTAGGAAAACCTTATAAACGCTATTTCGCTTGTACACAACCCACCCTGATGGTTAGTCTAAATTTTCCTCCCCTCTTCAGACTAGCCAGAAGTATCATTTACTGTTGGGGTTTTTTTTAGCTTTTACTGAATCATCCTATCTACACACTTAAGAGAAGTCAAGGATTTCCTGTTCGTTGCCAGTGTGCATTCTGTCACTGAAATTATACCTCTTCTTGACATACTTGAGATGAAATTACTAAGGACAAATAAAGAACGAAGTACCTGTCCCCAGAGCCACTAATAATCTGTGTGGGTACTAAGGTAGAGTCCATCACTGTTTGCTAAACAATCTATGTCTCTTCACCCCACAATGTGCTGTACAGGTTGAATTGACATAGAATCCACATTAAGACATCTGAACATATAGATGATGAACAAGGATGAAAAAGGGGGTACTTTGGTAAGGTCAGCTTCTGCTGCTAGAGGAATATCCTCTCTGCACAAGGGCGGCTATGCAAAAGAGCCTTAGCTGAAGGGACAAGGGGAACAGGACACATACTAAACTTGACAAAGGGAAACAAAAAAAATGCTAAAAAAAACAATGAACCACTGTTAACCAGTGGCTCACAAGTCATGTATTTAGCTTTCCACTTACTGTGCAGTTGTTGGAAGTGACATGTTCCCATAGTATCCTCTACTGAACACGCACTCCCAGGGGACTGGCAGAGTCTCTTTCCTGGCATCAAGCACATTTGCCTCTAACCCAGAAAAGGTTTGCCTTGTTGGCTCCTGGAGTTCTACCATTTGTCCCGTGTGACCTGATTATAGCTTTGATCAATGGCCAGAGCAGCCATCTGCGAAGTACTCAAGGCTTTAGCAAAAGGCATCTTTGATTTCTTTTCACTGCCTTAAATGTGCTTGTAAAGTCACCTTGAGCACACAAAGATGACTTCTGCTTCTCTTGTTGATGAGCTCTCAGATGATCTGATTCGAAAACATTCGATACTGGGCTGCACTGCTACTGGGAGGAATGATACACTTTTGCATCTGTTCCTTCCGTCTTTTTCTAGATTCTGTTATCTCATGGAAGCTTTTTAACTTAGTGTGCTTCTGTGGCCTTTCTGTCATGAAAAAAAAAAAAAATCTAATGATTCCTGATGCAAACACCCCAGGCAGTTATATAAATGACATGTTCTGAAAACAATTATTTCTCATTCATCAGCAGAGCAGTCCTTCCTCCATGTCTGTGCATGCTGTTCTGACTGCCCTTTTTCCCTGGACAGTACGTCTGAGTGGCAAGCTCCCTGCTTGCTAAAGCTTCAGACAGCAGGGCTTTAACGGTGGTTTTTTTAATGCCACATCTTTAATACGCTATGGAAAACATTTTTGAGAATATGCTTCTAAGAAGCTCAGTGTGCTCTTGTTTGTTCCACAGCAACGAAGAAATGGAGGATAAAAAAACCCATCACGGACATAAGGCAGTCAGTTTCTGAATTATACCTCAGTATAACACAAATATAACTATGCCAAACACATTATAAGACAGAACTGAAGAAACTGTTTTATCTTTATGTGGCGTTGTGTAATTGAAATGGACAAAGGTCCAAACCTACCAGATGAATCTTGGAGGATTACATTTAAAAATATTCGAAAGAACCCCAATCACTTCTCTCTGCTATGCTGCAGAATACGCAGTATGATTGTTATGTGTTTATAGGAGTTGGAAGTATTCTTCAAACTCCCTTGTTCTTCTTTGTGGCTTTGAGCTCCCCTGAGTCTCATGGTTGATTAGCTAAGACATTCCTTTCAACAGTTACAACTCCAGAGAGGCAGGAAACAGCCGTGGCAGAGGTAGGGAGCAGAAAGTAGAGGTATTTTACTGAGTCAAGTCAATATTCAGCTAAAAAGGAAAAAGCTCTCTGTTGCCTGCAAGTTGGGAAACTGAGAAATGAATACATAGGAAAATTGATTTCCCTTCAGTATTATAACCCTGCTATTCAGTGTGTTGGGAAATAACAAAAGAAAAGGAGTAGAATAGCTCAGATTAGACCCCTTGGAAAAGATGGCCTACAGGTTTAGAAGCATCATAGCAAAACTGAACATTTAACACGCTTCTGCCCTTTAAGGATGAGCAAAGTAAAAAAGGATCACAGAGATGTAACTAGGTATACCAGAAAAAATAGGATTTCAGCTTTGCAAAGCTGATACCCTTTGAACAAATGGGGAATAGTCATCTCACACTTCCAGCATCTGATCTCACTAATACTACCTTAAACTGAAATAGGAAAAGGCAGCTTCTTGTATCTTAATAGATGATACCATCTCCCACGTTTCATTTTTTACATTTTACATACAACCCTTTTCCAATATAATTTCCATCCCTGGCAGTGTTCAAGACCAGGTTGGACGAGGACTTGGGTGATATGGTTTAGCGTGAGGTGTCCCTGCCCATGGCAGGGGGGTTGGAACTTGATGATCTTAAGGTCCTTTCCAACCCTAACTATTCTATGATTCTATGATTCTAATTTTCAAATTAATTAATCCAGATTATGCAAACCTACATTAACAAAAACTTCAATAAACACAATGACACACGGAAAAAGTAACCCAGGCAGCTAAGAAGGCAATCAACTCTGGCATCAGTAATGGGGGCAGGGGTATGTGGAAAGGCAGAGAAAGCAGAGAAAGAACAGAAGGACATTCAAGACATTAACATGTATGGAGTTATGATAAAAATCTATCATGACTTAACTCAAAGTATCTGGTTAGACGATAACTCCTTTTTTAAAGAAAGTATACCTAACCTGGACTTCAGTAAAAACATTTGCTATAGGACAAGAACAGACAATTAGTAAAGACATATAAAAGGTGTGCAGGAAATTGTACGGTACTGAAAGAACAGATCATGCTCAATGCAGAGAACGATTATAAGCAAAGCTTTTCCTCCTTGGCATTAATATTCTTCAGTATTTATGTGCTAACAGAATTCCTAATGAAACAAAATCTGCAGCCATTGTTAAGACAATGAATGATCAGAACAAATATAACAAGAACTGGATAACCGTGAGGAGTGTAGCAATATTAAGAACAGTGTTATAAAATGCCAAGTCATGTGTTTTTAGTACAATGCAAAAAAACCCACTCTACCAAAACCTAAAGTCCACTGCTGGAAAATGAGTAAGAGAAATACCTTATTGCACTGTTCCAGGAAAGACTATCAACTGTGAAAGTTACGTAGTTGGGAAGAAAGGCAAAGGTGGCTCTTGGGAAAAAAGCACAATGTAATAAAGATTTCACCTGGGACACTGTTTATGATACTAGTTATTCCTAGTGAAGAACTAACATTAGCTAATCCTGCATTTCTCTTAGCACATTCCTGTATGGGGAAGCTAAAAGACCCTGGCATATTCAAGTTCATGAAATTAAGCCTATGAGAAACTACGAACGCTTTCTTTAAATGTACTTTGAGGTCCCAGCAGAGCTGGGGAAGACAACAACCTAAAAAAAAAATGAATTGTTGACACAAGCAGTGAGTATAATTTCATGCCTTGATAGCCATGAAAACATTTGGGGTAGAACAATTTTGAATCACCACAAGAGAGCAGTGGTGAAGCAGACATCCAAACAGATCAGTAGGGCAAGAAACCAACCTACTTTTAGCATGCAGCTTAACCAGTTTAAAGAAATGATTGTGACTGGAGTACCTGCATTGAACAACTCAAAGTCACTTTCCATCTCACTCACTCTGCCTATCTACCTGCCAGCATTTTTGTCTAAAGTGGTTTATATAGACAGACTCAGTTTTTTACCTGGAAAGAATGACATAAATGAAGAGCAATAATTTCCTAAAGCAGTGTGAAAGTGTTTCAAAACACAGTTCAAGTATTACTTCTATCTACATTCTTTAATGGCTTTTCTTACTGCAATGAAAGCCAGAGTAACTACATACGGTATCCTGATCTTAACCCATTTTACATTTGTGATGCTGCAACAGAGCTAATAGGGCCATAAAGGAGCTCTCCTGCAAGCATCCTGACCATTATGGTAAATTAAACTCCTACTCTTCTATCATACAATGTGTACTGTGCTCTTCATGCCAAGTGCAACAACAATTTCAAGAGCTCAATACACTGTTTACCAGGATCATTTCATGAAAGAGAACTTAATGTGGCTTCAAACTTCTACTCCAAATCAGATCAAAGGGAAATGCCAACCTAGAGGTCCCCACAATCTAAGTCTGAAGGAGAAAAAGTGTTCTCATTGAATAGCAGGGACATAATTTCATTTGCATAAGGACTTAATAAGGATTGACCTGGGAGGTATTTTCTGGGAATGTTTCCCAGACTGTGTCCTACAAGCATGACAGGTGGGGGATATCTAGTTTGTGAATCCCAAGAAGATTCAGGCATCTCAACAATGCAGAGACATGGCAAGACTTTGTTGACTGTTTAAACAATGCTGTAAATAGAAAGGATGATTCTCCAGCTTTCCATCTTTCACACAAAATTGGAAAACAGATGAATTTTCTTGCAACAACAACAGTTAAAAGACACCAGCATAGGAAGCCAACATTCTCAGTGAAATTCTCTGTAAACCCGAATACAGTTATGTCAATAGCTTTCTCCCACATTAAAATGAGCCAACTATACCAGTAAAAGACTGCAGGTAAGAAATTTAAATCAAGTGCTATCAATAAAATTTTAAAAATTAGTTGTGGAAAAACAAACAGAAAAAAAAACTGAAACAAAAAAAAAAACAAAATCCCTCAAATGAACAGAAAAACATCAAACCAACAACCAACCAGGATTTTATCAATTTTTCAAAGAGCTAAGTCCACATTTGCTGCTTGTGTATTTTGGCATACCAAAGAGGTGAACTTCAATGATAAAGACTCAGTTTTCTTATTTTATGCATGCAAATTATTTCAAACAGCAGTGTCACAAGTTTAATTCAGGAAAGGATTTTGTCATATCTTTAAATTACTCTAACATGAAACCTGGACACAAATTTAAAGCATACTCGTAAATGCTTTCTAGAATAGAAGCTAAGCCGTACCAAGTTCTTACCAGCACAAGCTACTGTCATCTTGTACTTCAGGCACACTGAAATCCCACATAATCTTTTATAATACAGACATTACTTTAAAAATACACATACTTTTGTGTTCTGGATCTTAAAACATGCCATTAATTTCCATTTTGCTTGCCACATTCAACTTAATGATACACCCTAGCTGAACTACTTATGGTTGTCCTGAAAAAGGAAATATATCTTGAAAGTGCTGATACAATCTTAATTAGAGCACCAAATAATGTATGCTTAGCATACTGTCTTCAAAAAAGTCATCATGACTTGCTTTTTCTCAGATGTACTTAGATTCTCCGAAGTTTTTCAGTGAAATGAGATTTGAAATTTTATTTCACGGATTTTATCTACATAGAAAGTTGTACAGAGACACCAGCTATTAAAACAGTCTATATAACACTGTGTTGTGTGCACTGAAAGTTTAACTATAGCATAGGATCTAGAAAAAAAACAAAAGAGCTAACCACAAACCACCTATTTCAAGAACAATTCTAAGCTCTTACCGTCATTTTTTAAATGGAAACAAGCTGCCACACAGGTCAGAGATAAAGAAGGATAAAGTACCAATAGTAATCCTTGTACTCCTCACATGAACTCGAACAAGGTATTTAAATGAGACTTTTAAAGCTGTAAATTGTCCATCAAAATACAGAATAACTTTTGCTAATCCTTGTGCCACAAATTACTAATCCATCTGGAAAGCTATTTTGTTGCATGTGTTTACAAGGATCTAAATGTCACCAGAAAGAATTGGGTTAGTAGCATGTTAAAAAAGGAAAAAAAAAAAAAGTATGACAGAAATAAAAAACTCTGAAGCAGTTGACCACAGAATAAGTAGGATTTGCAGAAGTACTTACAGCTTTCAATCTCCAGCGTGCAGTTCTGCTCATCTAGCGGATATCTCCGTAGGTCCATCATACAAGCAGCTGTTGTTGTAATTCTAGGAAGGAAACAGAAGAGCTTGTTAATTTGTCTTGTTCCAATCTTTTCTTGATTACACACAGTTGATAGAAGAAAATATATTCTACATAACTGACGTTCTTGTCTATTTTTGCTGACATAGTGTGTCTGCTGCTTACTTGTAACTAATGCCTTTCTAAGAAGGTTATGCCAGTCTGGTGGGCAAGCAGAGATCTTCCCCTTTATACACCATTACACAGTACTGCAAGCTTTAATAATCATCAACCAATTTATCCTAAAAAAGTGAAGCATGAATTAGTGCAGCAGTATTTCATTTTCTAGTGGAAGAGTTCAAACCAAACAGGACAGGCTCAATGAAAGGCGGCACCGGAAATCTAAAGAGAAACAACGACATATTCTGTATCCTGGGTTAACACCTTAATCCCTTTATGAAACTTCTTTCTTCTGTTCAGTAGTGATTTATAAATAAAATACTATTTTATCTTCATATTAAAACACAAACATTTTCAGGACCACTTTAAAAAAAAACACATTTAGAACCGTATCTGTGCCTCCAGATTTCACCAAGCCGAGTAAAATTAACATGTTGAGCATCTCTTTTAGATGTTGAAACATCTGTACCATCAATAAACCTTTTGCCAATAAATCTCACAGAACATGACCCCGAGCTGAATAAGAACAGAAGCACAGTTCTCAGAAGCATTTTATTAACTCTGTTCCCATCACATCACCTAAATGTGTAGAAAAAGACCCCAATTTTTAATCTCCTCCTAATCCCAAGCAACTCGGTAGTAATTTAGAAAAGTATGACAATTTGGAATCTACCAACAGTCAAACTATGCCCCACATATACTCCACGCAGTGCCAGGTGGGGATTTAGTGCACCAGCTGAGAGGTTTCTAGCCTTTCTTCTCTCCCTCTCTACCTGGCAAGAGCCCTTCCCCTACCCCTGCTACAGCCTGGTGATTTATACGGAGTCCTCAGAGAAACAAGGATTTTCCCCTGTGTGTTAAGTACAGCTGATTGGCCAGCTGCATGTGGAAAGCCTGCTTCCACACCAGTAGAAAAATGAGGCCACTGCACCACATCCAACTGTACAAGCTTTCTTCAAGCTGAAAGTTTGACCAACTGATGTAGCTCATAAACTCAAACGATGTAGCCCATTTAGCTCAAATCATAAATCCCAAGATGGAGCAGACAGAACTCCAAAATGGGACCCAAGCTGACAGATGGAGTGCCTACAGCACATGCAGACAGTGCATGACCTGACAACATCAGCAGCAACATCTTTCCAGGATATTCAAGAAAGACTTGCTGACCAACAGTTCTCAAAATCCTGTCCTCCCGGTATGAAGGTCACTGGCCTTTCATAGTTGGTATTAGGCTGTCAGTAAGTGTCTGAAAAACTTCTTATACATTCTTTGTCTGATAAGACAGAGAACTCTTTCATTCGGCAGACCTCATTCTTTCTCCTAAAATATCTTAAATAAGAGCTCATTAGTAGCAGAAAACTACAGTTGCATGAGAGAGGCCCAAAACTGACTCCAGCAATCCCTTCCACAAGACATTTAGGAAACACTGAAGTTACACAGTCTTCTCATTAGTATGCTTACTGCCCTACTGCTTTACTGTCATTTCTAGAAAAAAAAGTCCCTGTAAATATCTTCAAAGAAAAGAAGTAAGGGCAAGTTACTCCTATAAACACTAAGGAAGTCCTACCTCTCCCTGGTCAATCCATTCAAGATCCAGGGGCTGTCAGAGAAAAAGAACTAAGTTTTGGTACTAAGTTCTTTCTTCAGTCACTACATGGGTACCCATAAAATTGCTTTTGAAAGCATATTGTTTTCAGTGTGAGTTCACTACAGATGTCTCAAAAGAAAACAGGGGAAAAGAATCCTTTGGCTCCCTCAATGAAAATCTTCCAGCTTTTAACAAAACCTGATGAGGAATATATGTTTGTTGATAGCAAATGCAAATGGAGCAAGCAGCAGAAGCATATATTCTAAAAGAGAAAACCAAAACCAAACAAAAAACAAAATAATAAAAATCTCTTGGCAGTCCATATACAGCATCTTAAAATTTGGAGGAAAATCAAAGCAATTTCGCCCTATTCCAGTATCAATGCAAGATTAATTATTTGGGGAAAAACATCAGGAAAGGCAGAGTGAGACCAGAAAAAAAAAAAATTATAGCGCATATTTTTGATTGGTTGTGTTTTCTGGCGGGGAGGTTTGTTGTTCTGTTTAATACCCTCATTATTTCCATATCTATGTGTATATTATTGTCATGAGTTTTAGAATAATTTCAGTCCTTCACAAATGAAAAGGCAGGAGAAGAGACAAACAACCAAGGTTTAAGTGCACAAAGAACAGTGGTAAATGCTAACCTGGTTGACTACTAAGTCTTCTAATACCTTTCTCTGCACTAAACACATTCTTCCTACCAGCTTCCATCAGAGTAGGGGACTCCACACAGAGAAAAAGCCATCCTGTGCTATCCTCCACAAAGCGTCTTTTCACACTGATGGTGGAGCTGAGCATTCCCAATTCTGACATGTCTTCAGTAGGATTTTTGGGTGCAGCAAATAACCAAAAGGGGCCAAAGGCTGCAGCCAGACAGGATAAAAGCTCTGTAGGGAACATTATGAAGTCATTACAATACACATTGCTTTACCTCATCAGAAAATAATGGGGGGGGGGGGGGAAGTGGCACAATAATGACAATGATTGGTAGAGCAGAGTTTTAATCAAGCCAAAACAGCAGTTTTCAATAATGCATTTAATTCAACTTGCTTATTCATTCTTATCCACAATGCAAATCCACTGTAATAAAATAAGGAGCCTGTCCTTTCTTCTCTTTGTATCTCCCTCATTTTTATCCTGACTTTTCTCACACTTAGCCTGAAGTAGCAAAAACTCTCTCTCATCTTCAAAATTATTTCAACAACCAAACTACCTTTTGGTTGTTTAAATTCTTAGTGGTTTGCAATTCATGGTGAATATCTAAACCAAATTACTAATGCAAGAGCATGCAAGAATGACCAACTCAGACTATTTTAAAGTCAAGCCACATGACCTATACCTCTTCAGACAGAGAAATAAACAGCAGTTCATTACAGCAGATAGGAATATTTGATACAGGCCAAAAGCCTCTTCCCCAAACCAGAGCCATTCCAATTTTCCTTAAAGGATTAAAACTATTTGTATACAGCCTGGACTGGTGCACAAAACATGCTATCACATTTTGCATAATGTAACCTTCAGAACAAAAATGGGAGAAAATAAGAAAAGAAAAACTGAAACCTTTTAAAAACCAACACTGCAACTCATCACATTGCAGTCGTTAGGGATAATAACATTGCTCTCTGACAAATACTGTATGAAATGAAACACAGCATAGAACTGTCTCATAGACTAATCTTTCATCTACTATTAAAGAAAGAAAAACCTTGTGATATTTTATTTTGAGGCTCCTAACAATGCAAACCAGACTTTAGCTTCCTCTTTTATGACCTGTGTTTTGAATGTAGACTTATTATGGAGCCTCTCTTCACCCCTCCACAAAAAAAAAGTCAAATCCTGAAGCACTGAACTGACTAAAGTATTATGAACTACACCTAAAGAAAACTTTGTGTGTCAAAGTAAGCACAGCTACAGTGCAAAGAATCCTGCACCACAAATAGCTTGAAGGGAAAGTAAAGCTTGCTCTTGGTAATACAAAATAATTCAGATAAACTTTTCTTTCTGAGAAAGCTGAAAAATCTGCCCTTGTCTCCAAACCTTTGACGAGGTTTTATGATTCAAATAAGAGCGGAAATAGGCACTGCTCCTTTCACAGGCCAAAGTTGAAAGCCATAAAAATCTTTTTTATAACACTTCCAAACTTGAAGAGATGCAGAAAATAATACACTTAACAAATACTATCCCAGCAGTGATAATAGTTGTTTTTTTCAGTATTACACAGCGTACAGTTTTTCAAAATCCCATTGATTTTGCTCTTCTGACAAATTCAGGTGGGATTTGAAATTCAAAATAACAACTTAAACAATTCTGACATCACCAGTGAAGAGAAAACAGCACTGAAAGACAGGAGAGCAATGCTAATGATAGGTGGAGATGGACAGAATCCATTTCTCTCTTGGAGTAAAAGTGGCTGTGCAAAGCTATGGGGAATAAGCAGCAACAGAAACTTATCTCTGCCCTGGAAGGAAGCAGCCCTGACCTGTAATTACAGGATTACAGACACAACAGAAATGATGAGCAAGAAGGTGACAATTTCAGATAGGTCCTCTGAGTAGAGTGGTAGTATGAGAACTATATAACACTCTCTTAACTCTAGCACTGACAGATTGGGATCCTATTGAGTCAGACAGAGCTGAAACCCAGGAAAACACAAAGACCAAATGTACGCACATATATCCTGTCAAAAGCAGTGTGAGATTCTGCTTCAGATTTGTGTATCTGAAGGCAGAATACAGCTCCCCACTAACAATATCTGGAGCAATCTAAAGAGCTTGCAAGGGTACCATGCCCTATAACAGACTGCATCTCTATCACAGACTTCATAAGAATCCTCTGCACACTCAGACTGGAGTCACAAACTCCCTGAATTAGTTACTGAAACCCTGTACTGCAGCTAAACCCACTCTTCACTTCTGCTTCTTGGAAACAGCCCTGCTGCGTGACTGTTGGAAATGTTGGTGGCAGCAATAGCCAGCAGAACCAATTTCAAATACGTGGAAATCTGGGAGCAAAACTGTAGTGTGATAAATCTCTCTCCTGAACAATAATATTTGATTTAGACGTATGTGTCAAGGTTGTTAGACATACTAACAGATCTACTTTTACATTAGAGTTATTACCAATAACAGAGTTCGCAGAATCCTTCCTCCTGCTTAGTCACATAAAAGATGAGCTTCCCTTGTATTACCCTGGGTTAAGAGTTGGCTTCAAGCAAATAATGAACAATAGTGGCATTTCTACATGTCCATCATTAAATCTGAACTTTCAGCTACTGACT